ACGCTTTTGGTTTGTTGTTTTTAATTTTGCTTATTCCATTGGTACAGCACGAACTAGACGAGTGGACTCCGAAGGGGCTGGAGGCAGGCGGCGGTGCGCAGGGTAGGCAGAGCGGGCTCCCGCGGGGCCGAGGCACTGTGCCGCCGAGCCGGGGGACTCGCCAGGTGCCCCGGCAGCCGCCGCGCTCCCCTCCGAACAGCCACCCGCTTAGGCTTGGGCTGCCGGGGGAAAACAGCGGCTTGCGGCTGGGAAACGACGATGGCCAGCGCCGTGCTCTCGCCGGCACTGTCGGCTAGAGGCAGAGCTCCCCCCTCGAAGTGCTGCGGGCAGGGCCGGGCTCCTCCCGCCCTTGCGCTCAGGGACATTTTCGTTTCGTTTTGGCCTCACCTCCTGAACCTGGCTCCGAGCGAGGGATCGCGGTAGTACAGAGAAGTGGGAATCCCTCCTACGGCAGCAAGGTTAGACGGCTTGTCCCTGACAGGGAGAGCTTGATGCCGAAGCTACCCCGCAAAGGCGAGGAGGTGCCCAGCTCCTTGGCTGCCCAGCGCCTTTCCAGGCCCTCGAGCGGAGCGCGAAAAGAGCGCGGCCGGGCAGGAGGTCGGTCCCCAGCGCTGCCCGCCGCGGGTTTGCCCGTGCCACCGCTCTGCCCTGTCCGGCTGCCGGAGCCTCGACGGCACGTGGCGGGCAGGGCGGAGCGGCGCTGCAGGGCCGAGGGTGCAGCGGAGGGTGTCGGCAGGGCCCGCCCGGCCCCGCGGCAGGTGCTGCGCCCTTCCCGCACTGCCGGGGCCGCGGGCGGGCGGGAGCGGCGGCGCCTCGGGCTGCGGCGGCGCCGGTGCCCGCGCGATGGCGCTGTGCGAAGGAGAAGGAGCCGCGACGCGTCGGGCGGGTGGTCCCGGCCCCCAGGAGCGGCCGCGGGCTCGGGTCCCTCCGCGATGAAGCCCGGCCCGAGCGGCGAGACGGGAGCCCTCGCCTGCGGGAACCGCCCGCCCCTTTCCGCCTGCCCCGGCGCCCTGGCGGTGCCTGCTGCCGCCGCCGCCCCCGCGGGGGGGACCTTGCGCTGCCCCGCCAGTGCTGCGGGGCCGCCCCGCTTCGATCCCGCCGGCCCCTGTGCCGTCGCGGCATCCCGGGATCTCCGCGCTCCGAGGTGGTGCCCGCGGGCGGCGGGCCGGCGCCCCCCGGGACTCAAGTGTGCGGCGCCGGGGACCACTCTCCGGCTCCGGCCAAGCGCCCCGTGGGGAGGCTGCCGTCCCTCGGGCATCGTGGCCCCGGGAAGTCACTGGGCGGAAGGTGGACAAGTAGGAGGCGAAGAAGAGCGCCCGGGGGCCCGGCGGATCCTGCCAGGCACGGCGGGCGGCTCTCGGGCCGGCTGCGCTGGGCGAGGGCCGGCCCGGCCCGGGGGCCCGCGCCAACCACGGCTGCAGCCGCCCGTCCCTGGAGCCTGTGCGGGCACGGAGCTGAGATCGCTTCCATGCGTTCTGGCTTTAAAAGCGGTAGTTAATGAAAACCAAACCTTTCCAAGGAGGTGTTTTTGTTCAAATTTTTTTTGGCAATCAACTACTTAAGGCGTCCATGAACTTCAGTAACAAGGAGAGCTGGGCGCTCGGAACGCATAAACTCCTGCTCTCAACAGAGTGCGAGAGCAGAAAATTCTCGTACTGGAGTTCGTGCTAGGAAAAAATATAGGTTATTAATATTTTTCTTTTTTAATAGCGAGATTGAAGACGGATGAGGAAAGAGATGGGAAATAATCGTCCTTTTTTTTCCAGTGGAAATAAGGACAACATGTGAAATTCATGCAATGGGGGAAAAAAAGTGTTTGTAATTTAAAACAGAAAGAAAAGACTTTTATTGGGAAAAATATGTAAAAGAAAAATAAGCATCATGCTTCATAAAATCTGTCTAAATTAAGTGATGTTTACAAAACAGAAGTTACCAACCATCAAAATTTATACAAACTCGTTTCAGTTTCCTTGTTTCACTAACAACCCCCTTTGCTTCCGCGTAAAAATTTTCGAATTATTACCACTTCCGATCTCAATGTTATTTTTTCAAAGAGTATTTTATGTAAACATTCAGATTATAAATACGGAATAAACACATATTTGACCATCCTGATACTCCAGTGAACGCGCAAATGAGAAACCAGATGCCGGTGGAGAAAAAAACGAAAGCAAGAGAAAGGTGCAGGGGATTCATTGCAAATGAAGCAATCGCTACATATATATTTAAATGTATTTAATTGTATGCATTATTCAAATGCCCTTCTGACTAGTTTAATAATTTAGAATCGATAGTTTTCCTAAAAACTTTATAAAATATTTACACTTAATAAAATATTAATCGATTAACAAGCCGGTCGTACTCTTATAGGAGCTTTACTAAAGTCCTGTAATCGCGCTGTTGCCACACGTCTCCGCTGTTAAGGAAAGGATCACTGACAAAATGTAAATGAAGATCTTCAGACGGTGGTGTTTATAAAATAGCTCATTAATGGGCTTGGATTGAATCTCTCCATCCATCCATCCATCCACATCATCAGATATAATAATAGTAACGAATCAGACAGGGAAGATCCTGGCTAAACCATTGGCATTTTTTTTTCCAGAAGTACTGAAGTCCTAAATCACCAATTCTTCTAACTTTCTGGCCATTGATCCACGGGAATTCGTAGTTCAGCATCAAAGGTAAGAACAAAACATTATTTAATTATTCGATAGCTGGTGGAAAAATGTTAATTTCCTTGTAAGAGCTGCTGATGAGCTGTATCAGATTTAGATGGGGGAAAAAAAGAAGAAAAGTTAGATGGAGTTATTTAAAAAGAAAACTGAGAGTTTTCCAAACTTTGAGGCTCCTTTCTGAGAGGGACGGCGGGAGACCCGGCTGGCGGCAGCCGCTGTCTCTGCTCCGCAGCCTGAGTGTTCCCGACACCGGCGCTCGCTCCTCCGAGCGCTCTCGGAGCCCAAGTCCTAGCGGCGGCCCCCCGCCCCCGGCCTTCGCTGGCCCCCGCATCTTCTCCTGCTCCCCAGGCTTCAGCCGGCGGTGGGACCCAGCTCCCACCCGCGTTCAAGGCTTGCTGTCCCGGGGCAAGGCGGGCACTTTGGCGGCGGGTCTCCCTGCCCCTGCCTAGGCGGGGAGACACACGAGTTCTTCGGCCGACGCGGGGGAAGCCACAGCACTGCTTTTCGGGGCCGGGCCGGAGATTGGGTGTGGGACGAAGGGATGATTTCTCTTACCCTGCCCGGGGATCCGCTGCTTCTCCCGGCACCGCTTTCAGGGGCGGCCAGGAGCCCCCCGGGACACCGGAGCGCTCGGCGGGTTGTCAGTGCCGCCCGCAGGGAAGGAGGGGCGCGGCGGGGTCGGCGGCGGCCGCTCTCCCGCGGGGACCTGACCCTCCTCCCAGTCCCGGGGCAGCACCGGGACGGCTGCGTGCAGGCTCGGGGCAGCCGCTGCTGCCCACCCGACCATCCCCGGGCGCTTGTGGGGCTAACGAAACCCTGTCTCCAGGGCTGCCCAGTGGCCGTGATGCTCCCGCCGGTCCCCGCTCCCGCCGTGCCCGGGCGGGGAGACTCTACTCCCATCACCCCCCGAAGCCCCCTTTTTTTTTTTTGACCCTCCGGCGCCACCGTAAAAGGCAGAGCTCTTAAGGGGGCACGGTGGGGAGGGCGGCGCCCTGCCGGGAGCCAGCGGTGGACGGGTGGCGGGGGAGGCGGGGTAGGGGGCGTCGGGGCACTCCGGATGCCCGCCGCCACCCCCTCCTCCCCCGCCGCCCGTCCGCCGCCCGCCCCCGAGCCAGCGGGGATTCCCTCGGTCCACCTTAACGCGGGTCTCGCTCCGCCGCCGGGCGGGGAGGGCTGGGCGGCGGGGCCGCCGCTCATTCCCCCGCGCCCCCCGGGCCGGGCAGGGGGCGCTGCGGGCCCTCGGGGTGCCCGCCGGGCATGGCCCCCGCCCGGGGACGCGCCCGCGCCGCCGCCCGCCCCGGGGAGCGGCACGGTGCACCTTGCATCGGAGACAGAGGGGACTGCCTGCATGCCTGCCTGCCGGGTGACCGCTCGCCTCCCGGCACCGGTGAGGGGCTCGGTCCTGCCCCGCTGCGACTTCCCGGCCGGAGCTCTGCCCCCGCCCCCGCTGGCTGCACTTCGGTAGCGCTGTCATGCCCTACCCGGAGCTCAGCTATTAAATAATTTAGCGGCGGCAGCAGCAGCGCTTTCCTGCTCGCTTGCCACCTCCTCCCGGTCCCCGCCATCAATTATTCAGGACCACCCCGGTAACTGCCTGGAGCCGGGAGCGGAGAGCAGGGCGGCGGCGGGGCCCTACCTGGGGCCGCCCGGAGGAAGCGCGACCGGCCCGCGGGGCTGCAGGACCCGCCGCACTGCCAAAAGTTACTGTCGCCTCCCCCAGGCGGGGAGCGGCTGTGGGAGGGTCCCCGCCGCCGCTCGGCTCCCGGGGGAACCAGGGAGGGTGGCAGGAGGTGGCGAGGCCGCATCGGCTGCGTCGGACCGACCCGGGCGCCGGGACTGAATGTCGGTGGCAGCTTTGCTCCTCCTCGGTCGGTCCGGTGTCCCCAACTCCGGCTTCCCCACTATCCCCCCCACCCTTTCCCTTCTTCTCCCGGCTCCTCCTCCTCTCCTTCCCCTCGGCCCTCCCCCAGCCCGACTGCCCCTGTCCTTGCGCCTTTCTGCCCTGGATCTCTCTTGTCGCCACCGCCTCGTCCTGCCACACTTCCCTTCCCCACCCAGCCCGCCCTACGCCCTCCCTTCGCGCGGCACCGCGTTCCCTTTTCGCGTGCGAGATGTATTATTTATTTATTGATGTTTAATTTCCTGCCAGGTGGGTCTCTGCCTCCCCCTGCGCCCAGCGGGGCCGGGGCTCCGCGGGGCGGGCCGGGCCGGGAGGTGGGCTGCTGCGCGCCCGTCTGCGCCCGATCCCGAGATAGCACCGAGACTTGATTTTTGCTGGGGGGGCGGGGAGGGGGAGGGGTGTCGGAGGCGAGGAGGGGTGGCGATGTTTGGGATGCACAGCCCTGGGACGGGAACGCCGCGCAGACAGACAGGCAGACACACATACACAGGCGTGCACACTCACCAAACCCGAAACCAAGGACAACCCCAAAAAGGACTCACTTTGCCTCGATGACTCAACGCAACTAATAATCGTTTCTCCGCTCTCTGTGGCGAGTCCCTCCTGCCGCTGCTGTCGCTGGCAGAGGAGGGAGCGATTGAAAGTCACACACCGGGGGCCGCCGCCGCCGCTTCCCCACGCCACCAGGCACTCGCCGCCGCCGCGGAGCCTGGGAGAGCGGCGCTCCCTCTTCTCCTCCCCCCGTCTCCCCCCGTATTGATTTTCTCCGCGGAAGGTGTGAGAAGTCGTCTCCTTTTCCCCTCTCCTCCGCGCCGCAGCCGGCGGCCCCGCGGCTCCCCGCCCCCTCGTCCCGACCTCCCCGCTCCGCTCCGCTCGCCACCCGGGACCCTCCGGGAAGGGGCTCTGCCCCTGTCGCCCCGCGGGCAGCCGCCCCGGCCCCGCCGCCCCGGCACCCTCGGAGGAGGGCGAGGAGGGGGCTGGGGGTGGGGGGAAGGAGAAGAAGGGAAGAACGCGGCGTGAGAGGAGGAAACAAGAAAACTTTCCACCCTGGATTCTCTACTTCTGATCCATGGACAGAGTCCAACTCAGCCAACTTACAGACAGGCTATAAGCAGTAAGTACAGCGGCAGCTCTCGGGAGCCGCTCGCTAGAGGCTTCCTCGCCAGCAGCCGGCTACTCCGTGGCTGCACAGCTGGCTGGCGCGGGGGGGCCGTGCCAGCGGGGCCGTCTGGTCTGGCAGCCTCTTCCCCGCGGCCCCCGGGGGCGGGCCGGGGCCGCGGCCGGACCCGGGGCGCAGCACCTGGCTGCGGCGGGCGGGGGTGCTCCTGCCCGCCGGCCGGCCGGGCGCGATGGGCACCGGGGGGCAGCGCTGCCCTCGCCCGCGGCAGGTTGGGGCCGGGCGGGTGAGGCGAACCGCTCGCTTCCAGCGGGACCGGCTCCGGCGGCGGGAGCGGGGCGGCATCGCACCCGGCTTGGCTGAGCCGGGCCGCCCAGGGGACTCGCTGCGGGGGCCCGGGCGGGCGAGAGGGGCCCGGTGCCGGGCGGCGGCGCAGGCCGGCGGCCACTGAAGCGCCCCTTGTTTCTCTCACCCCTAGGTCCGTGCTCCCTCTACTGCGACCTGCCAGCGGGAGCCGCGTCTCCGAGCATGGAGCGGAGGAGCGAGAGCCCCTGCCTGCGGGACAGCCCCGACAGAGGCAGCGGCAGCCCCGATGTCAAAGGCCCCCCTCCCGGGAAAGTGGCCAGGCTGGAGCAGAACGGCAGCCCCATGGGCACCCGCGGGAGGCCCAACGGCGCCGTCAGCAAGCCCGTGGGAGGTAACCGTGCGGCCGCGCTCACGGCGGCCCCGCCGGCCGGGGCGGCGGGCCCGGGGCAGCGTGTGGCGGGCGGGTCGGCAGGGGCGGCGGGACCGGCAGGTCCGTGCGGCAGCTTTCCCGGGAAAGCGTTTGGCTGCGCGGCACCGCTGCGGTGGAGGGGGTCCGCGGGAGGGCTCGGACCGGGTGTGCGGAGCGCAACCCTCCCGCGTTAGGAGGCCGCCTGCCGAAAGAGGCCACCCCGGGCCGGGCGGCACAAAGGGCCAGGCCTGATCCTGTCGGAGGGTAACGGGCTGGGAGCGTGTCCTGCGCTCGGCGCTTCCTTCGTGCGGATCGCCCCGGGGCAGCCGCGGGCATCCCCCTGCCCCGCCGGCGGTCCCGGAGGGCACGGCGGGGAGACGGCATCGCTTTCGGGTTAGGTGCGGGCAGCCCGGCTGCCCTCACGGGTGCGGGTGACACGAGTTAGGTGTGTTACACTCGGTGTCACAGAGCGGAGAATGGGGTCTGCAGGGTGGGAAAAACGGCAGCGTTTAGGTTTGCGTTTAGGGATTTTATTTTTCTTTCGGTAAGTAGCATTTTGCAGCGGTTGTTGTAAAAGAGGACAGGGCAAAGCATGTGCGAGCTTCAGCACATATATTCATGTGCTGAATATATTCAGCAAATATATTGAAATTAGTTTTTCAGCTTTCCTGCAATTCTCTAGAATACTTAATCTTTTGTAATTTGCTATCAAGTTGCTCCTCAGTTTTGTGTTTAGAGCATGTTTAAGCGACACTCGTGGTTGCTTTTTCCCCCTTTTGTTCCAAGCAGATAAACTTTCCAGTCACTTCTCCTAAATCCTCTCTTTTTTCCTCTTAATTCTAATGCGGTCGTCTTTAACACAGTGTAGCCTCGTGTTAGGAAAAATATATTTAAAAATCTTGAAATTAGGCAGATGTTGTGAGCAAAATAATGCAGGAAAGGCCACAAAGTTTACCTTTACCTAAAAGAAAAAAAAAAAGAAGAAAAATGTCTGTATTTGTGTTTTAATATGAGCAGACTGGTAACACACAATTGTAGTTATTTATACACAAAGAGTTTGTGTAAATGGCGTTTCAAGAGATACTTTGATACAGTCGTCACATGACTCTCTATTACGTGAGGTTTATTTAGCGATTTTACCATTAGATGCCTGTTTTAGACCTCTTTGGCTCAATAGGCTTCCTAATTGCTGAAGTTTGCTAAGGAGCTGCATATTTTATTTTAAAAACGTAGGATTCATTTATATACCTAATGAAGGGTAAGAGAGCTCACCATTTTTTTCTGTTTCTTGAATGACTATATATCTATTTTTTAAACCTCTTCTCTGTGTTCTTCCAATGTATGGAAAAAGAAGAAGCAGCTTTGCAGTGAAAGACTTGTAGTATTATTCCACTTACAAATCACGGGAGAAATAATTTGTTGAGTAATTGTAAAAATGAACTAGCTAATCATATAAAAAGTAATATGTGTAGTTTTGGACGCCTTTCTTGAGACTCAGGTATTATAGCTGCTTGATCTTAAGGACAATGTTTGAACAAAAGCTGAAATTATTTTCCTTCTGACATTAATAGAAATATACTTTTAAAGAATGTTTTTGAATGTTTTGGAATATATATGTTGCTTTCTAGTGGCAACTGCGTTATCCAAGAGAAATTCAGCGGCTTTTATAGTTATATCAGTGGCTTAGAGTGAATCTGGCCTGTTAAACTATGGAAGATTTCTTCTACTCCAGAAAGAGACTTTCATTTCTGAAAGCAAACTTTTAAGAGCTTAAGTTTTCATTCATTAGTCTTCAGCTCATTTATAAAGATGTTGTAGACAGGAGTGTAAAAGTCTGGGGGGATAAGAAAAGCAGGAGTAATATATTTTCTTTTTCTTAACTGGAGTTCTTTAAACAGTCTCAATCTCTTTGCATTTAGGCTGTTCATAATAAAGGTTATTCATTATTCCTTATTGATACCGAAAGCAAGAAGAAAATTATTCTTGTCTGAATACCTATCTAGGTTCTATAATACTCAATACTAAATTAGTTAAGGCAGATTTTTTTTTTAATAAGATAATGGTGCTGTTTAAAATTGATTTATTTTTTTTTCTCCTTGAAATACTCTCACAATAAATCAACATAGCTTATTTCCAGATATTTTGTCTTCTGCTGTTTTTCAAGTTTGATGATTAAGAAGTGGTGTGACCAAGTGATCTTCTCCTGAATGCAGATCACACCTGTTCGGGTATTTTTGGAAGTCTGTATCTTTGCAGTGATTGTTGTGGTGTTAGTAATTTTTTCACTTGAATTGTGAAATGCAGCTGTAGATGTCTGTGGGAAAGCTTACTTTTAATATACTGGCAAATTAGTATAAAACTTCTTTCAAATATATATTAATAAAGGCTCTCCTAGTATTGTGTGTAGAATTTGACAAAAAGGAAACTATTGAAAGTCGTAGTGAAATGACATCTAAGGCTTCAATTGTCAGACTTTCAGTTTATTCTTATTTCTCAGGCTTTAAAAAGTGCTAATTTTTATTGAATGTGAATTTCGCTTGGGACAAAAATGGAAATACTTTACTGAAAACTAGAGATGACTTTAGTTTTTGTTTTATTTTTAGTTCTATAAAGTGTATCTAAAGGTTTTGGAAGCAGAGACAAATGCTAGCAACTCTTTTTCTCATCTCATTTTGGGCCTTAGATATGTAAATGCTGAAATTCCTTCTTATTTGTCAGGTGGCTTTTTGGTGTAATAATATCTGTTTCAGAAGTTAATTCCTGAGAGCAGAGCAATAAGCTCTAAACTAACTGGTGCTATGATGAGCCTGATGACCTTTGGTAACCAGTTTTATAATCGTAGTGTTTACTGCAATTATTTTTCTAGTGACTTCCCTGAGAAATAGAGAAATACTATAGTGCGGTAGGTGTTTCTAGCTTTTTCTCTGGTTTTGTGAGTGAAAAAGCATTTTTAAATAAGCTTTTGTAGTGCAGACAGAAAAATCAATTGTTCTCATGAGAAATTTTGCCTTATGACTCTCCTGGTTTTTTTATTCCTAACATGAATGTACTTAATTCAAAGGGCCATTACATGCAGCTATAATAAACTAGTGAAGGTCACTAAAAAGATAAACGAGGTCTTAAAGGTTGTGTTTAATAGAGGGTTTAAAAGTTTTGGTGCTGTTTACAATGTTGTTAGTGTCAGTCCAATGTGTTAGGGTTCGGTTTTGGTTTGCTTGACTAACCCAGTGCTTTCTAAAAGGTTTCAGCAGTTACTGTCTGTTTTAAAACCTGTATGCAATAAAGCACAAGTGCTCAAATTTTCAGGAGACGCAGGTTTTAGAAAGGTCCCTGGGAAAAAAAGGCTAATATCGCTTTAAAAAACATATGAAGTCTGGGAGAGAGTTTAGAGCAAGCAAGAGCACTGTGGTGTTGACAGCTTTATATCCCTGTTGGGTAACATTCACTTACTAGAATTGGCGTCTCCTCTCAGTTGGTAATTCACTCCATAAGGATTAAAAAAAAAAAAGGGATGATTAATGACGAGGAAACTTATATTTACAAAATTGTTGATTGCAGTTCAGGAACCTGTTTGTGTAAGAGTGGATGTGCATGTATATATGTATGTGCTGATTTTGAGGAGCATAGAAAACAAGTGTCAAAAGCCTCTGAATGCAACTTAAAATGCCAGTATGCAGAATGAGCTGTTCTGAAGTTTGGTTTTGCTGAAATAGAAATGTAGAACCAAAATGCAGCCAAGGGAACATGTTCAAATTTGGAGCAGGAAATGATTGCAAAACATTTTCTGGTTAAATTAGTTTGACGCAGTCTGATAGTAATATGTTCTTATTCCTTTAACTGTTAAAAACTGTGATTCAATTTACAGAATATTAGTGGAGGTGAAAGCTTTCAGGCAATTCAAACCGAAGTGTATGATTGGGATGTTAATCAGTAGCTGTGGTTACTGTGCTCGTACAAAGTCAGATGTACCAGAAATGTGGATGCAGTGACTCTTCAGAGCGCTGCTGCTAATTGCTGTAAGCCCCCTGAAGTTGTGATATATCACGGTCGTGTGTGCTTAGGTGTAGTTAGAAATCAGTTTTAATGTATCTCTGAGGTGACAGAAACACTGACTGAGAATGGCTAAAGAGCTGTTTGTCAAAATCCATTCTGTCGTATTTCTGCAAAAATATCGTAGGGTTTGTGCTGCCTTTTATATCTTTTACAAGGATTTAAAGTACTTTACTAGAGAGAAAATCCACTTCTGTGCCGACAGAAGAGTACAGCTTGATCAAATTTGCTCCTCTGTTCTAAATGGTTAGTTGACACTGAGCTCTAAATGGCACTCTGAACAGAGTAAGGAAGCATGTTTCTCTTGTCCTTAGAAACTGAGTGAAGTGAAAGGTTAAGTTTTAGATTCCTGCCCAGATCCTAGATGAAGAATATCTTCCTGCTGCCTGAGAGAAGTATGTAGTTATTTGAGAGAATTAAGCGCATCAAGGTACAGAAGCGTGAAAGCCGCAAAGCCTTGTTAGTTCAGGAACCAGCAGTGTGTGTATATATTTTGTTTTATCCAGGGTGGAATAGTTGGAAAACCTTGCTTTGTACTTTGATATAATGCAGTAGGGATTAGGAAGAAATGCAAAATCTAGGATTTTACGTGTTTCTGATACATAATGATAAAGAGAGCTCTAATTCAGCAGAAACAGCAAGAAAAGCAAGATGGTGATTTCTTTTTCAGGACTGATGGTTAAAAATGAGTTTCTGGTCTTTTTGCTGATTTCCACCCCTCTCTCCCTTTTCCAATCAGATCGTGTCATGTAAATAGAATAAACAGAGCACCCTTGACTCCTGAAGGGTCAGGCAGTGTATCAGCTGTATTTTTGCTGAGGTAGAAAAATAGTCTTTCTTTATGTGTTCAGTACTTGGTCTGTTATTAAAATAAAGACACAGTTGGTTAAAATATATGTGCAATTGAACATATGCATTAAACAGAATATAGG